GGGGACACATATTTATGTATAAAAGACATCAAAAAGTGCATTTTGCATGATAGGTCCCCTTTAGCATCACTGATATATGATGTTAGGGCCTCTGGTAAAACTCAGACAGAAAAAAACACAATAGCACAAGGCCAATGGAGAAAATAATGAAAAATGAAACCCATACTCACCGACAGATATCTTGGAACAATGCTGACGAATGGGAGCAACAGCCCGGCTGTGCCTTTTCTCATCAGATCTCCTTGTCTATCTCTTAATGGCACCTGCCTCAGCAGCACCGTCGTTTTTCAGCGGCCCGCTGTCCTTGAGGCAAGTAAGCCAAATTATTTGCACACTGGTTAGCCACTTTAAGGTGAATCAACAACTGATAGCTCTCAATTACTCCACAGTGGCATATTCAGGCCTCACAGAGCTGAATTATAGGTTGGATTGGCCCCATACCTCATTTACCTAGATAATAATTGCCCAAATAACCTTGATAATACCTCTGCTTGCAAACAATGTGCTGTCCCCTAAAGTGAGCACACATTATGGGTTCAGTATTGACATTAGCCAGCAGTGAGTCTCGTTTAGCAGACTGCCAAAAATATGGTTTTAATGGCCGACAGATGTAGTCGTTTGGCTGTCACATTTTGCGAATTGGGAACTCATGACTATTTCATGGGATTGTTAAATAAATAAGGAGGGGTAGATTGAGTTGCCTACAGAGATGTGAGCTGTGGCACATGGCCCAGGCAAAAATGGGCCTCAACAGATCGCCTTCTTGGACGCCATCGTGGGTGCATGCTCAATAGCCACGAGCCGGCCAAGACACTAAAACAATAGCAAAGCAGTCAAATGCAAGAAGCAGAGGGGAGCCGGGCGGCTTTTTTTAGCAGCAGAGCTCGGGGAAGTGTTTATTGACTATGCGGAACTGTCTGCTGAACATCAAAGCTTCTGCTAAGTCCCCTCATGGGAACCACACCAGACATAAACCCCTGAACCAAGGATGATCAAAGTCTCAGCCATTATTCAACTTAAAGGCCATTAAATAAATATGAATATTCTGAATTTATTTCCACAAATATAAACACACTACCCACCACCAGGAAACCGTCTCTTGTGCAGATCATATTGTAATTACTCAGGATATTTTGAGAAATCTTTTGGGGTTTGACATTCTTTTTTCTATCAATTACAGTAGTGGAATATTTTTACTTTTATGTATGTGCTAGATTATTCCCACATTTTTGTAATTAATTAGTCAAGATCTGAATCAGAAAAAAATGTAATAATCCCAGGGGGAAAACGGTTTTTGTTACATTATAGAATTAATGAAATAAAATATTAATAACATAAGATATAATATATTAACCTGTTAGGCCCTGAGCCTGTTTTTTGGGACGGGGGCACCGGGCTTAACAGGTTAAATAATATAAGAATGTGCAATAAAATATAAAGATATATAAACATAATAATTAATGTCCAATACACATGTGCGTATTTCATCAACTTGGAATTAACATATTACACTTCATTAGCTTCATGTAAACTAATTTGCTTACTTGTTTGATTACTGAAGAGTCACTGTTATGCTAATAGCAAATGTTTCAGTAAATCCAAGGTCATTTTTTACCTAAGAATCATTGTGTAAATACTTGAAGATGTGCAGGACAAGGTCATATGGGATATGGCTCATATAGTAGCCTCCAAACGTTATCATTCAGTCCAGTGGAAGCCGATAACAAAAGAAACTGTCATCTCAAATTTCCCCGAAAACCATGAAGAGAGGAATTGAGTCAACAGCCTCCGGAAACAGACACATTGATGCTCACTTCAGAGCATAGGATGTTGCTGCTTTGATTTAGACTTTCACTGAAACAACAGGAGACACTCCTACTTTGAATTGTGTGTCCAGTTTACTTGGAAGAGCTTCAGATTGCTCAGCCTTGGGGATTCATCAAAAGTAGGAAGTATTCAACGGGCTCTTTAATTGTTTCAGTTTTTTTGGGGACAAAAGTTATACAACTCTTCTCATAGTGTGATCAATAACAGCCCATAGACGTCACTCTGAGATCATCCAGCATTGTTAAATATATCTTTCTAATCCTCTTCCGCTTCTTCAGTACATGTTGAAGTGAACTTTGGATGACTGAACAGCAAATTATGTAACATCAAGTAAATGTCACCTTTACAATTGTTAATACCTCTGAATATAAAGAAACTTGATATTTTTAATATGCAATAGTCCAGTGATACATACTGCACCACTTTGGAAATATATATAAAGGCCGTCCACATAAAACGTTGCTACTCTCCAGCGCATATCAGACAACAGCTTGTGTTTTAAGACAATTGTTGTTCGGTGCAATATCATATTGTTCCTTAATAATGCATGAACATGACTATTTACGGCAGATGGAGTTTTACAACAGTAGAGCAATATACACTAAAATATCACATTGTTCTGAGTTGAGCATGACAAGATGTATCCCTCTATACTAAATTAAACCCATCCAACTTAATTCAGGTTTTGACATTAGCATAACATGTATTTTATTTCTCAAAATAACACTATATATATATATATATATATACTATATTCACCTGTTATAAAAGACTTGACATGTGTAGGGGTTTCAAACGGAAAGTGTCTAACAATAAATACTAGTCATTACCTGTGTTTTTAAATATCAGATGTGCTGGTCACTCTTTCCAGCGCATTGCCATATTGACCATGACTCCTGATTGGCTGATCTTTACATTACTGCAACTTACTTATTCATAAGTGTATGTTCCACATCGACCCATGAATGTTAAATGACTTTCTTTTGTATTTTAGGCATCTGATGCTTCTGTCGAGGTGCTACAGACAGCAAATGTATACTTTAACTGCATCAATTATTACCCAGATGTAATCAACAACATGGTTTTGGGAAAGTACAAGCAACACCCAGAGGTGTGTCTGTATTTCCATGCTTACTGGGAGAGTTGACTTGTCGTACTGTGTCAGAATCCATTTGCCTGTTCCTGACCTAGACATTTAAACACAGCTCTAATATCTGAGGAACGATAACAATGGATGTCACCAGTACTCTCCAGGGATCTCAAGCCTCAAGAATATATTCTCTCCGCCTCTATTTTGCCTGTCTGTTTTCAAGTTAGAAGACAAATGAGCATGCTTTGATAGAGCTTTGTCAAAAGTCCCCCTGGAGCCTACCAAGGAAGCAAGGAATAATAAGGAATTGGACAAAGATCCAAACATAATGCAGAAGAGAACCATATTTTATAAAACACGGCTATCCCAGTCCTATCCCTTGTCATTTCCGATAACCTTCAAAACTTGATTTGCTAATGTTTCACTAAGAGACACCCTAATATGAAACACTTTTGAATGTCACCAACTAATTACCTTGCCAATATACAGAAGTATATTTTTAACATGACACATTAGCAGTGCTAATGAATAATATTCCCTATACTTAATGTTTGTGATCCTTTACTAATGGTGGTTAATTAATGTTTAGAGGCCAGACAAGTAAACATGTGAAAAACCAATGCCCTGTAAACAAGTAATTAGCATTGGAATACATGATGGTAAATTACCTTGCGGTCTGCATAATCATTTAATGAGGTATCCAATCAAAGAAAATAAACATTAAATTGTTTATTTGGTCACTGATAGATACAAAAAAATACAGCCAAATGTGCAGCTAGACTTCAGATTTGACATGTGTAAAAACACATTAAAGGGGTATTACACTATATTTCACTTTCATAAATCTGTATAGAGGAAAAATAAAATGTATTAGGACTCGTATGTACACAATGTAATTTATGGGACATTGGTATGAACCAATGTTATTCAACCCTACACACAGACACACACACGGCTGTAGTTTTTGGCAATAAGACAGTCCTTACCAACAACTCCTTTTTTTAAATCAAGATAGGACCATCATGTGTTTAAAAAAGTCCATAGATTGTTTAATACAACATACCATATTCTCAACAATTCAACATCAATGAAATTTTGTTAATTAAAAAAAAAAAATCTGCATATTACCTTTATTGCACAGAACAATTTGAATGTATTTTCCATAGATTTATTTTTGTAACTTTTTTTTTTAGTAAAAAGTTGGCTTGGACAACATGTTCAACATAGTCCAGGGTCAAAACAAAAAAAATGGTAGAACAGAAACAAACAACGGATTCCCGGGTTCACTCGGGACCAAAAAAAGGCTGGGTACAGTAGCCACGCTTTGAACAAAGAGAGCATTCAGCAAGAGGGAGAACGATGAGCCATATCCAGTGGTATTTTTTTTTTCTTTATGCAAAATGGATTACACCAAAGCTGCTTCAGATTGCTCCATGGGTAAAACCATCTGTGTCACTCAAACCATCTGCATATTCTGTCCATACTTCCAGCCCATTACTCTGTCGTTGTCTGTAATGTCATCCATCATAAATAACTTAGCCTTTATCCTCACACATGTTGCAAAGCCAAGCTGTCCACAATGTGTGCTCGAAAAGGAAAAGGCTGTAACGTCAGATGTGTATATGCAGGTCCAACTGGGAGCATTATATGCACAGTTCTTTTTCCACTGACAAACATTGCACATTTCTGGGGAATAGCAAACCTTTAAATGATCCTGGAGAGTAATATGTCCATGGCTTTGCTGGGGGGGGATCATCGACATAAACAATTGATTTTGTAAAACGATCAAGAAAAAAAACAAAACTATGAAAGAAGTATTCTACAGCTTGAAGAGCACATCTATTAAAACATTTGAGCACCAAACTTTTTCTTCCTCACAATCATGTCGAGCACAGATAAAAACCATTATTAAGCGCTTACAGTATCAACGTCCTAAAATTAACTATTCAGCTTCATCCATTGTTGGTACAGAGCTCCATCATATCAGCAACATCTCACATTTCATTATGTATCCTGCTCTCCATCCATGTTTGTGCACTGTGTGCATAATAGGGGTGACTGACATTGACACTGATATCAGATACATGGCTCAAAAGGCTTTATTAGAGCATTTTCCCAATGATAAAAATCCTGTTAGTCACATTAAATTGATTCTTACATACCCTTTTGTTTGATTTGTACAGTACATAACTGAGCATTGCAATTAATATTTTAAGTGGCACTATACATCTGCATTATGTCATTTCAGAGCACTTATGTGTATCATTCTGTTTTTCAGGTCACCTAATGACCAACTGGTTTACAGTACCCTTCATTGTTCTTTCTCAGACAATAAGTTCGCTATGAATTAGCTGCAAATAAGATGTTCTATTGTGCCTCGTTCTGTATTTCCTATCATGTCATTTTGCTATACTTTGTTATATATCTCTGCTCACTGGTGGGACATACTCTTTTTTTTTCATTAGCGATTGTGACCAACATATACATTTGATGGTTTACAGAACATCACTGTAGGAAAGAAAACGGACCATATGTAGAACATAGTATAATGGTGATTCATTGAAATTGTACGTTGTATACATGTGCTCATCAACCTATACAAATCTCATTCATAACTTGACATCCAACCTTGGAAACAAATGTAAGAAAAAAATAACATAAAATAAAAAAATACAGACACAAAACAGCGATGTTCGATCTGCCCCTCCCATACTGGCTGTTTGAAGTGTTTTGTTTTCAGATATATTGTTCCCAGTATAAATCCACAGGAATATGAACTGATATGACAAAGTTGACTTTCAGTTGATGCCTTCACAAGTCAGGAAGTGCTCTCTTCTTTAGCACTTCAATCAGAAAAAAACATTTGACTCTATGTTCACAGACCAGGATCCACAGGTTGGTAAGGGAGGAAAGAAAATGTCTTCTTTTCCATTTGTCATTTTTTTTGTTCAAAATGAATAAATTCCTCGTCTGGGTTATATCATTTTCATGTTAAACTTGCGAGGAGCATCCGCTGTGCTGCTGCTCATGCCAGCGTCCGATTTCCGTGGCACATACTCGATCTCGATGTTGTGCTTCGTGGCGCCTTTACCTCTACTCCATAGGAAGAGCAGCACCAGGCAAAACAAGACGACACCGAGAAAAGAGATGAAGCCCATTGTAGTGGCAATGATCAACGTCTTAATATCAAAGGGGAAAGGCGCATTGGCTCGTGTACCATTACCAGTTTCAGCGGGCTGGTTGGAGATGAAGGCTAAAGTCTTGTTGGACCTTTGTGGCCAGTCAGGCGAGTAGCTATGGATGTGAAGGTGAGCAGGGGAGGTGTCATTTCCGCCGGCGTTGCTAGCTATACACGCATATGTACCATTGTCTTGGGTCTGGGCATATCGAACCTCCAGGGAACCATCTGGCAACACGGAAAGCCTTCCAATTGTCTTGGAGGTGATGAACTTCTTTTGCGGAGATAGCCACATTATCACTGGAGAAGGATCTCCCTCTGCTTGGCAAGCGAAATGAACAATGGCTCCCTCGTCAACATATTTCTGCTGAGCTTTGCGATCCCTAATCCTAGACTTGCGACACGTGAAGTAGTTTGGCTGCAGGACATCTGGAAAGTCTTTGAATTCTTTGCCTTGGACAAACTCAGGGGAGGCACAGGTAGGCTGCTGCCTGTTGAAGTTCAGTCTCCAGCGTCGTCGGAAAACCCATAACAGTCTGCAGTCACAGGCCAGGGGGTTATCATACAAGGCAAGGGTTTCGAGGTTGCCGACTGAATGGAAAGCAGACTCCTCTAAAGTAGTTAGAGTGTTTCCAGAAACATTTAGGATCTTCAGGTAGTTTAGACCACGGAAAGAGTAGGGCTCAATCATTGCCAGTCTGCCTCCAACCAGGTGAAATTCCTGCAAACGCAGAAGGTCATGAAGCTTATTCCCCTCAATGGTATGGATAGGGTTATAGGAGAGATTAAGAAAGCGCAAATAGACCAAGTGCCGCAGGGCAACATAAGGAATTGTTGTCAGGTTGGCATTTGCAATGGTCAGGGAGGTGAGATTTAATCCATACAAGCAATTTGGAGTCATCGTATCCAGATAAGGCCAATTGGCTATTTCCAACACTTTCAGCCGGTAGAGCCGTTTGAAGGAATAATCCCGTATCACATTGATATTGAGGAGACGCAGCCTGAGCGTGATCAAATTGTGAAGGTGTGTAAAAGCATCTGTTGGTACGGAGGACAGGTTGCACTTCTCAAGACTCAGATGCTCAAGGCTACTAAGCCCGTGAAAAGCTCGGTGGGAGATGAAAACAAGGTCATTATCACCAACCTCTAAGGACCGCAGGTTGTACAAATCCTGGAACATGTAGTCCAACAGGATGACAATCTTGTTCTCACTTATGTCCAGCTGTGTGAGATTGCTCAGGCCTGTGAAGACCCCAAGCTGTATCAGCTTGAGCTTGTTGCTACGCAGCCCTAATGTCCGCAGACCGTAAAGGTTATTGAATGCTCCAGGTTCAATGGTGGAGATCGTGTTTTCACTGAGCTCCAGGTTTTCGAGGTTGGGAAACATGGCAAACTCGTCTGGGTTGATGGTTCTGATGCGGTTCTTGCTCAGGTCCAGCAGTTTTGTTTCTGCTGGAATGCCCTCGGGAACTGTCATGAGCTTTTTGCGGTGGCACATCACAGAGCGCTCTTGAACATTGCACTCACAGCGGGATGGACAGCCTGTAGTGGAGCCAGACAGCACGGCGCCAAGCATCAGTATCAGAATGGGCTGCCAGAAAGCCACCAGGTAGCTGTGCCCAGTCGCTTCCCTGGCCGCCATCTTATCGGTTACCTGGGGAGACACAAAGAAGAGGAAAACCATTTAGTTTGAAAATAAAATGTACCAGCTTTGACACCAATAATAAACTACCTAGCATTTCAGTGCAGATCTGGAACATTAAGTACATCAGCTCAAAGAGGAATATAGGAACATGTACAATGAGATTGTATGCCATGGTTTGAGCTATAGAGTGAAATTTAAATATGCAGTGCGAACTTGTACTAAAACACTTTCCTTCACCATTGTTTGCATTTTCCGCTGGACGGTTAGTTCAACATACAAATGCTGAAAAATGCCATTCTGGTGTGACACAGTTCCTAACAGAACAGAGAGTATGAATCCCGCTGCAATATTCATGCCACAGACTCTAGATGAATAGAGGTGGGAGGTTACGAGGAATAAGGTATGTGCTTGCATAATTGAGAGTGCTGACGGTTTTGAATTTTGCATCGTTCACTTTTCTACACAGAGCTTCAAAATTTCAAATGCAAGCAGCTGCTGTGAATGCACTGCTTTCTGTGACACCTATTTGTGATATCTTAGGAAGTATTGATTCTACCAAGAAAATCAAATGCCCAATACATCCTAGTAATCTACATACATCTCATCCGCTCTAATTTTGTCTCCTGTATTCTGAACACCATTTCCAGTCCACACCTTACAGATGATCAATCAGTCAATTGTATCACCCTGATATGAAGTGAAGGGGCAGAGCTTCATGTTTCATGCTGTGTCACATGCGCATACGTTGAGCACATCTGTGGTTTGATCTGGGTCCATAACGTCTTTTTATTTTTCAATCCCCTACGCTTTTCATCCTACGTCTAGCTTGCGTTCACTGTTTGAGTTTTAAAAAGAAGCAGTAGGGGGGTGGAGCAGCAGTAACAGGAGGATGCAATCAAAGATGGATGGTGGCAAGTGTGATGTATGTGCTGTGGCTGACACTTGGCTCATGCAATCCTTTACGATAAAATATAGACCTTACACCACCAGGGAATTGGATACAGAGAGATAAATACGGAGTTTAAGAAGAAAAAAACTAAAACATTTAACTCCAATTCTATCTTTAAGCATGCTTTCACATATTCCACTTACAACGTTATTAACAATTGATGTTATCATTTCATAATTTCCAGTTATATGCAAAAAACTAAAATGGCATCCTCAACATTAAAGGGTGAATTAATGATAGTGTCACTAATGCTATGATCGTAGATGGATGTTTGAACTAAATGTTTAATCATCAATTAAAATATTTAATTTTCATCATTCAAGTACATGTTATGGAACTGTAATTAACTCACAGTGAAGTGTGAGAAAATAAACCCCTTCATATCTAGTTCACACTCATCAGGACATGTCTCTGGGGGACTCCTGTCTGTGTGTGAAGGCTGTTGTCACCATACAAAGACTTTCGTCAGTATTATGCAGTTTCATCTCTCTCTGTAAATTGCCACATGATCACATGGTGCGTTTTTGCTGATCCACATAAGGTTTGTGATGGATAGTGCACATGTTTTTGCTTGAACAGATTTCAAGGACCATGTTATATTTGACGGAGTATGACTGTGTAGAGCAAAGGGGGCAAAAAACCTGATATTACAGTTACATTACGGTCAACAGTTAATCATGGGGTGACATGTTACTACCATTGTGGTCACATCTAATAACTTTTTCCAACTAAACCAACGTGCAACTGGACATCAGACTCATAAAAAAGGGTTTATGGGTTAGATTTATTTCACACAATTGTACTTTATTACTTCAGAGGTCAAAGTCCAGATAGGGAATTTGATGAAAGCATCTTTAATCAAGTGAAACCGGGAGATTTCAAAACAGGCAGAGATGATTGTTCACCCCTCACCAGAGCCTGCTGTGCTCCTTCCTGCCTCGAGCCATCCTGAATCATTCTTATTCCTTAACCCCCATTGATCAAGTCAGCGCTGAGTGCCGTTAGATGGAGTGGAGCGGGGCCGTGTATGGCATGCTAAGACACCTAAGAAGGAGTGTCCTTATTGCAAGCTCAATTCCATCAGTCTCCCTGTATCATGTGGCTATCACATATTGAATATCAGTCGATAAGATACTATTATGTCCAACTCTATTACCACTGATACTGAAACTCAATAAAGAAAATGGTCAAATCATAATCCCCTGTTGGTAAAGCTCCATGACTTCAACTTGAGCAGGTTATAGATCCAAGTGAGACCTTGTAATGAGTCTTCTTACTCCTCTACACAGTTTGAAATTACCCACACAATAACACAACACAAAATAACACTGAACTTGATTACTCCATTATGATCCATCATATTATTTTTCCAAGAACCATTAGAGAGAGATGTTGAGTTTTTACAGTCATTCCTTTTTCTTTTTTTTTCATGACGGCAACTTTATTGCACATGGCTTCAGCAGCAAATAAGTACAGACAGGGACACATTAGGATGAAGAATGGCATCCACCGGTAAACATTTGCCGCTCTGTGTTGTTAATGATCTGGTGTTATCATTCCCTTGCAGGCAGAGAATTACATTAATTGACGTGAAGTGAGAGGGGGAGTGCTTCTCAAAGAAAAGCATGTGGCCGAGTAGAAGTAAGACATCATTGATGAATAAATAAGGACCCTATGGTGCAAGACCAGTAATAACAATATCAATGAATGCCTTTATGATAGAATCCACAGGGACCCTAAAGATGTTGAATCATATCAGGAAATGAACGGTTCCCTATGTTCCTATTATAACATAGTGGCGTACGAGTAGCCATCAGTAGATCTATCATATTAATACGGACAATCTTAATACGGTGCTTAAGATATTGTTTCTTTATATACCCAAGCCACTCAAACAACGATATTTTTAATTAAGATAACGATATTTTTCACTCATTGTATTTCCACCTTGTTGATTGAACAGGTTGTGTGCACCCACTTGCAGTGAGTTGTTTTAATTTTTCTAGCATTTAATGTGAAATCACTCATAGATATAGTGCCATGCATCTGAAAGAGGCTGTTTTCCACAATAAGCACAATCAAACAACAAGTAGGGAGGGTATTGTTACAAGTAAAGTGTTGCTAAAAGCTTTAGTTTACCTGTCACACAGCATCACTCCTGAGCCTAGGTAAATACCTGTAAGCTTTTGATATCCTTAAGATGATGCTGACGTTATCTGTTACACATAGTGTTAAAAGCCTTTAATTCCTATTCCTCTGCAAACTGCTAAGTCAGCTGGCAGTTTTATCCTGAAAGGACGGACCAAGCTGTAGAATTGTATCTACTGTACTATTTGAATGGCTGTGATAGTAAAGCAAACCCTAACTCAAAACCACATTTACTAGATTTTAAGATGTATATACTATAGTTTTTTTCATTGGATAATTAATCAGTGAAACAATTAAAAATCAGCTTGTGAGATTATAAATGTCACTGCTACATAACATGGTTATTGGTTCAATTATTTGCAGTAAACAGCAGTTATAACACAGAACATGTATAGTGACGGCCACTTAAATCCATCTTAACCAGGAGAGTGTGACCTTTAGCTCCCCAAGAAAGATCACTTTAACACTGCTATAATGTCGCCTAGCTGAATTTCTCTAGAAAGGTTACCCTTGTGTCATTGAGAAGCTTAGCTGCCTGGTAGGCGTGTTGGCTGCTGCTAGGCCTGTGAAATGGCAGGGCTTAAATGTAAGTCGACGCCCGACAGATGGACAGCAAAGCCCTAATCCGGGCGAAGAAGCTGGTCGGAGCAACAAGGTGCAGAACTCTTACAGCGGCCAGCTGTTGTCCCGATGAAACTCGGCCATGAAACCTGTGGACATCTGAACCTGAAGTTCACCTCAATGTTTCTGTGCAGGTGCTCTGTCTAAATCCATCACAGATATGTAAAGTAACTGGGTAAGCAGCCTATTTGCAAGTGCCCATAAGTGAGAGAGTTTCAACTTAGTCTTTCTTGACTCAAAGGGTGGATAAACTGTTTGCGACAATTCTACTTTTCCTTATCTCAGCTGTACTACATTATATATATATTGTTTGACTAAAGATTGGAATACATAAAGCAAATGGTGATACTACGATTACATTTTGTTAGCCTTAACACATAGCATGCCTAAAGCCATATGTGATCTTGACCCTTTGCTTAGAACTTATTGAGTGGTATGGGTGTTAGGGTAAGTGATCAACTACATGTCTTATTGTTGTGGTCACAGGTTCAAATGTTTTGATGTATTTTCATAATGATTAAAGCACTGGACATACATCTTCAATTCAGTGGGATTTCCTCTCCAGAGGATATCATTACTTCCAGAGATTCAAAAAATAAAACAATTTGCTACTGATTATGGCAATAACGGGTGACAATATGTGCAGAGTTCAGTATTATTGTGGTTGTTAAAACTCAGTCATTTTCATTGCACCCAAGTTGACGCATGCTCCTTATTGGGGCTATTTTTTAGAGATGTGGTTCGGTGTTATGTGTGAGAGACGGAGTGTATGTCCGTATGTGCTGTTATATCATGATTAAACTCATAAGCCACGCCTCCCCAGCTCAGTTCAGAGGTCCATCGTACATTTTTGGTTCTTCAGGAGATGTGTTTTCAAAGAGGAACATCCCCCAGAATGTCGGGCTTTTATAAAGTAGATGCTGATTTTTGACAAGACTCTGCACTCCCTAATTAGGACACACACACACACACACACACACACACACACACACACACACACACACACACACACACACACACACACACACACACACACACACACACTCTGTGGGACTAATAAAGGTATTCTGATTCTGACACACACACACACACACACACACACACACACACACACACACACACACACACACACACACACACACACACACACTCTGTGGGACTAATAAAGGTATTCTGATTCTGACACACACACACACACACACACACACACACACACACACACACACACACACACACACACACACACACACACACACACACACACACACACACACACACACACACACACACA